ATCATTTCAAACAGGAACCTGTAGTTCCGGGATGTTTTCTTCGAGCCAGGGCGATAGGTCTCATGCCAATGATCGATCAGGTAATTAATTCATCATTAATTTATTACTAAATTACTAAAAAAGTAAAATAAAAATGAAATTAACCGTTATTGCATAATCTTGAATATATTTTCAGGGAGAAAAAGATGACAAGATAATTGCGGTATGCGCAGACGACCCAGAGTACCGCCACTACACTGATATCAGCCAGCTCCCGCCTCATCGTCTCACTGAAATACGACGTTTCTTCGAAGATTGTATCCTTTTAACTAAATCACTTTATTTTTTCTTTTACTTTTTTCCCTATATCGGTCAATATATTTTATTTTTTCGATTTTTTGATTTTCTGAACGAGTATTTAGATAAGAAGAACGAGAACAAAGAGGTGGCGGTGGACGACTTTTTACCTTCGTCGACAGCCTTGGAAGCAATCCAATACTCCATGTAACTTTCTTGAATTTCCCCTTTGCATTGTAAATAATAATAATTATCTGTGATAAATAGAACCCTAATTCTGTAAATTGTTGTACAGGGACCTCTATGCTGAGTACATCTTGCACAGTTTGAGGAAGTAAATACAGGCTGCCCCATTTTGGTCATTTTATCATACAACATCTGTGTTGTGAAATTCTTTTTATTTTTATCTTTTATTAGCTATTTATTTTGAAAGCTTATACATAAAATGAAATTGGCATTTTCTTTTTTGGTTTATTCGATTGAATTAATTAAACTTTTTCACCTGTGTTTCAAATGCAACAATATCGAAAACAAATTCACAAAATGGAACTTCAAATCCATCATCGGAAGAGAAGTGTACAACTATTTGAGAAAACGGAATTCGACTTTCAAGGCATACGATGCCATCGGAGCACAAAATAAATAACATTAAGTAAATTTATTCGGCATAGTGTCAATCCAGCGAATGCTGCAATTTCCAATAATTTCTCTCAATTCGGAGTTAAATAAATAGAAAGCATACGAAACGAAACTAAACAAAAAGGGGAGGTAATAAGTTTTCAGCGCTGGTTAAAGAGGGCTCTGCCAATAATACCGGTGGCCTCGATGTAGCGCTCGATGCACCTCGATATGCAACTGCTTTCGCTCCCACTTAGACTGCTCCCAGGTTTTGTGATGCACTTCTCAAAGCACTTTCCTCGTACAGTCTGCAATTCCATTTATTACAGGATCAAGAATACAATATTAAAATGCACACGAAAGATATTATAATCGTCACCCTATAATTTTATTCAAAACAGAACCCCGAAAACAAATTGATGATCAAGTCTAGAATCGAGACATAGTGATCAAATAAAATAATAGAACCATGTTATGGATCAAATGAATTCGACAAAATGACGTAAACATCATGTTATTTTGACAACAATCGTGTATAGCTCGAACATAATTACTTCATATAGTTTCAGAAGTTGCCAACGACAGATTGAAGTAATCATGAAACCTAAATTGGTTTGTGACCAAAGTATACTCTGAATTCGTCAACAAATGATTATATTACAAATTTGGATCTCAAGGCACTTAATATTTCACCATCCATCATCGCCCGTCAAATCTCATAGAAAAGCTAGCTACCTCTTCACGCATTCTTTTCAACCAAAAGAAGCGCTAACATTGAAAGCATTTCTGCTCCGTAGCTTTATACGCTCTGTTAACATCATTACCAAAATACAAAAAATAAAGAATAATAATCTAAGTAGATGGCCAAAAACTGAAGGCTCGTTGAATTTATTCACTTCCCTTTAACTTTCCGCCGTCGGCTCTAATAAAACAAAGGCAACAACTAGATATTGAATCCGTTCAGCTACACTATTCGTATTACAATAAGAGATGAACAATGACCTAAAATCTCCAAAAGTATTTTCGTTTACTTGTTTTTATGAAGATTGATTGAACTCACACTCTATTTCTTTTCCTACATGTTTAAACTGTGATATCTAAGCCAAACCAATCTCAGTTATAGCTTATTCAGTCAAAAAATCTCCTTAAAGCAGAGTATATTTCAATAACTTGCTTTAAATCGAAGAGCTACTTTGTGCAGAGTTACCAACCAAGAGAGAATCGATGGTTTTAGAAACATTAAAGCACCGTTATGTAGACCCGTAACTTGCTTTAAATCGGGGACTTGCATTGTACAAACTTATTTGGAACTAATTCATGGTTAGGTGCAAACAAAATTTTAGGTATTCACCCAAGGGGGGGAAAAATAGGAATTAACTTCAATAGAGATTAGATTTACGAAAAAAAGTCGAAAAAAGTCGCTATTGTCGCTTCTCATTTGCAAATGAAAACCACAAAACCAAAATCAAACATGAAATACTGCCCTGTTTCCATATTCAAAAAAAAAACAGAGAGGCGGTGGTTAGTTCATCAGTGCAACGCCGATTTCATAATTTCTAATCTGAATCTGCCTTCGAGATAAACTAAATTCCATAAAACCGTCAAAATCCCCAAATAAATTAGGGTAAAATCTGACAAAATACCAACCGATTTAAAGAACATATTCCATTTTGCTCAAAGTATACGAACATTTACCGACGAATATTACAATACAGTATCCAGATGTAAGAGTCGAGAATAAATTATACAGAAGAGTAATTGATTGATTGATACCTCGAGAAATTCTTCGGCATAAGCTTGAGCGAGCTGAAGCTTGAGCTGATCCATCAAATCGTCCTGGAGAATTTCGGG